ACCACAACAAAAACAAACATAACCCCCAAACTCTAAAACTATTCTAGAGCATTTCTCTATTAGTCACTTGTGCAGATGTGCTTCAACACATGCTTCTGGTAGCTGACCTATTTCTTCTTTCTGCAATGAGATGAGAGCAAGTGTCATCTGGAAAAGCCTATTTCCCACCAGGGAAAGACTAACTTAGGCACAGATGTTCACAATCCAGGCAGCTGCTTTTGATCAGATAAATCCCACACCGAGGTTGTCAGAGTCACAGCGTGCAGGTCAGAGTGTTCAGTAAGCCCTAAAATAAAATTCTGGATTCTCTAAGCTGATGAAGAGGGTTGAGATCTTCCAGAGCATTTGGCAGCCAGCACAGAGTCGGATTCTGATGTTCAGTCTCCGTGGTGAGGTAGAGAAATGTTCCGTGTCACAGACTTGTCACAAAGCCTAAATGAGCCAGGTACTTCTTTTACCTTGATTTAACCACCTATAAAATGGCAACTGTCTTCTTCATGATCTCCCCCTTTTGTTCTGCCTGGCCAATTATGTTTGTAATCTTTTTGGAAACAGAATTATTTATTGAGCTCTCCTTTGGGGTGTGTTCACCTTTAGTGTGGGAAGCTTGCACTGTTGGCTTAACCTCTAAGCAAATACAAATATACTGGAATGTGTTATCCCCATGGTTCTCTCCTGGAGCAGAGGGCTCTTCTTCCATTGGACACAGGGAAGTGAAACACCAAAAGCTGACTCAGTTCTTCAAAGTTATTTATTTCTACTTTGCATTCCTTCCCATGAGTTAAATATCGATGATGAACTTGCAAAACTGGAGCAGCTGCCCAGTACTCAGTGGAGGCAAGACAGAGCTGAGTGTCTTGGCCAGAATTTTCTCATGAGAGGGACATCTTTCCATTTGATGGGAGGAATGGCCTTCCTGTCTTCTGGCTGGCACCAGCTGATGGCTAAACATGAGCAGGCCAAATGGGCTGAAATGTGTAACTGTGTTGGGAATGACTGTCTGCAGATTTTCTATTGTTTGGGGTTTTCTTTTAAGAGTGTAATAAATTACGTAACAATAATAATAACAACAACAACATGATGATGATGATGATGATGATGAGGATGATGAGGATGATGATGACGACAATAACCTTAAAAAATGACTGACCCATTTTGTTTGACCGCAGGGGAAGCACTACATTTGGCCAGAGATTTTGGCTACACCTGTGAAACAGAGTTCCCTGCCAAGGCAGTAGGAGAGCACATTGCCAGACAGCACATGGAACAGAAAGAGCAGACAGCGAGGAAAAAGATGATCCTAGCGACAAAGTAAGGAGGGAGGGGAAGCGAAAAAAGAAATCGGTCTGTCACTTCTCCATGTTGGATCTGGGGGCTGGGRGAGGGAGGAGTGGGAGTCTGGAGCTGGGATTGTGGTGGCTGCTATCACAACAGCGCTCACTGACTGCGGGGAGAGCGATCCTCGTCGGAGATGCTGAAAGAGGGACCTCATTTACTGCACAGGGGTTTCAGTGGCTGTGCTCTCATTGCCTGTGGTTAACAGGGCAAGAACATCTTCCCAGATGCTTTAGTTTAGATGAGAACGGGGATATTATTACATYTGTGGGACAGAAACCGGCTTTGTCTCCTGTTTGTGTGTGAGCAAGAGATCTGAGCTTCCACTGAAGTGCTGGTTAGTGTCAGAAAATTATCGTTTGTCTGCTGAGGGAGAGTTGGTTTGCAGAAGGACAGATCCTCTCTGGATGCAAACTGMAAGAGTTCCCCTGAAGTCAAAGGCACTGGAACAATGTACAACAGCAGGGGAGCTTTGCTAAAGACATTAAAGACACAAAGAGGCACCAGGCTTCACTCTAAACAAGCCACTCGTCTCCCTGGAGCAGTAACATCGTGTTAGGATAACATTTCATCTAGGTTAATTAGCCTTGATGAGGGAGGAATTAGCCTTCATGAGCCATGGGAAACAGGAATAAATAGCAGACCTGCCCTAGGTGTGTGGTCTGACTGTGTGGGGTAACCTTGGGCACATTCTCACTCTCTCAGTGCTCACTGTGGTTCACACGTGAGGCTGCAGTAGAGCTGAGGCCACAAATCCGAGCTCTCAGATCATCCCCTCCAAGCTGGAAGTGTTTGCAAACCATCCAGGTTGTGATATATCCAACAGGGAGGATTTATCCCGTACTGGGGTAAAGGCCTGAGCAGCAACAGAATTGTCCTTTGTATCCCAATGTCCTTCTGCTTTGCAGGATTCCCAGCCTTGGTGTCCCTCTCGTGTCCAGAGCACTTTGCCCTGACAGTGACCCAGAGCTGAGATGCACAGAAACATCTCAGACATGAGGATCCCATGAACACAGCCTGTGATCCTTCCCTGGGGTGATAAAAGGATCACCATGAGGCCCAGGGGGGATTTTCTGATTGGGAAGGTGGTGAGATAYMTWAKRTATMTCACCTTCCTAATTCCTTGKGCTTTAAAAGGAATAATATAAATGRAATATTTTCTTATTCTTACCTCTACCCACATTTCATTCAAAGGCTCAAAGTGTTTCAGAGGCACAAGAATGAACAAGATGGCCAGGAGCAATTCCCCTCTGCAAGCTGTGTCTCCCCACTGCTGTGCAGCCCATCAGCATTGTGGCACCAGTTGAGGATTTGTCTCATTTATGGAATACAATTCAACCATAATGGTCCAAATCTTCCCCATTTTTCCCAGGTTCTCCTGAGAAATCACACAGCCATGGGTTGTGATGACCAGTGGATCACTGTCATRTTCTGTCCCTAAAGGCTGTGCCACTCAGGAGAAATGAGAGTTTCACTACCTTTTCTCACCACACCATACCTTGTTTTTCACCCTCTTTCACTGCTGAGACAGAATCTCATGGGCATGCTCCACCTCCAAMCACCCTAAACTTTGGGTTTGTAGGCTGCTATCCTGTTTTTAGGAACAAAATTACCTTTTTTCCCTCTCTCCCATCAGTTAAAAGCACCAGGACATCGCTCAGAGAGGTTTGTCAATAAGAAAAAGGCCACATCCTGCTGCAGTCAGGACAATCGGGTCAATGTGTGTGTCACTACTGCCCTCTCCTGCCTGCAAGSAGAACAGAGATTCCCAGCCCTGCCCAGGTCTTTCAGGACTCACAGATCCCTGATATCAAAACATCAGGATGGCATTTCCCAGCCRTGCTTCCACGTGCCTCATACAAAGAATTCTAGACAGCCATCAGGAGTTTCAATTACTCATCAGCCATCCCTAAGCTCTGGGTTTGCACTTTCAGCAATTCCACCTCCCTGACTCATGGGCTCGTGAGTGAAGACACCAGAAAAAGCAGAGTTTTGTTGTGTTGCCACCAAAACCAACACAGAAAATCCAGGGTGGGAGGATCTCATCTCAGAGATGGCAAGCTCTGTCTGTGGAAAGAGCTGGAGTGCCACTGCCTGTGTGTGCTGCTGTCCCATGTTGGAATTGAGCCAGAAGCCCATAGAAGTGCCCTTGGTGAGGTTTTCCACACGTGGGGTCTTGAAGAAAAATAAGAAAAAATGAGGAAAAATAACCAAGTTATTTCCATTCTTCCTARAACATAGGTGATGAGGAAAAATAAGTAGAAAGAGTGAAATTATTTCCACTATTTTTCATATCTAGGTGCAATTCCATTGTGAATTTAGACATCCAGACTCAGTGGCTCAATTCAGCTGCCCAAAAACAGGCACCCACTGCCATTTGAGTTAAACTGGGTTATCCAATTTGGCCATGAGCAGCTGCCCTAGGGGCACTCAGATCCCTTTTTGTTGTTGTGGTGTGTCTGCCAGTGGTTATGGAGGTCTTGGGTAYTACAAACCTGCTTGGGGGGTAACTAAACAGAGCCTTAAATATCTACAGTGATGAAGCCTCCAGAGTCCAGCAGGAGCTCCCTGACCTGACAAGGGCGTCCATACTTTGTAACTGAGTAATTCACCCACCCTGAGTTGGAGTGGTTCAGCTGCCATGCACAGAACTGTGGCCTCAGGGACAGTGAAAGTTAAAAATTGCTGCTTAAGTGCCAACAACCAACACATGATGATGCCTAAATCTGGGTACCTAAAACAGAGGCCAAACAGAATTCAGAGAAAAAAAAAAACCCAGTTCTATTTATTGAAGTGCCTTCAGGTGCATTCAGGACAGTCCCAGCCCAGCTAGGGGCTGCACCCACAATGGACAATGGCTCACGGGTTTTTCACCCTTTCTCACTTTTGTCCATTTGCACAAAATTGGGGCTGAATCCTCCAATTGCAGCTGCAGCCAATGCAGTCATTCACTCCAAGTTGGCTCCCCCAATTCTCTGTTGTTTCCATCTCTTGGGGCCTGGCACAGKGAGGTGTCCTTGAGTTTTGGGGCTGCAGAGGAATTGTTTTGTCTAAAAACAGGACAACAGTTATCTTGGTACTGTAAAAGGGTTCTGGAGTTAGAATTATAGGATTACAGAGCCATAAAAAATATAGAWGCTAAAATCCTAAGWCATCAATGGAGGCCACTGGGCTTAGGTGACTCTTTTCACTGCCCTGCTCATCGCTGTGTGCTCTGAGGCTGCACTGATAGGAACACAGAGAACAAAACCTGGACCCTTTTCCACCATGGAACAAATCACATTCATTGTGTTAAAYTGCCTTGGATGGTCTCCCACATTTTCAAACTCAGGACCCAGATGGGACGGTACAAATTAATACAGCAGGAAGGTGCCATGGGCCCTTCTGACAATTTTATAGGCTAGAYAATGGAGAATGAGAGCTTTAGCTGATAATTATCATGGGAAGAAAAGAAGGTTGGGCTGTGTAAACAGTGTCCACTGCTGAACACGAGGGTCAGCAAAGGAAGGATGGGAGTGAAACAGCTTAAAAGGAGCAGAAATGGTAAAAAAGGCATAAAAATGGGAGAAGCCTGTCTCCTATTATTCTCTTTCTTTCCACTCATCTCCTTTGACTGAGTAGATGATTGTTTGGGCAAGTAGATGTTTGTCTGGACAGAGCAAGATGCTTCAAAAAAAAGGCTGAATTGTCACAATTCCGGCCAAAAGGTACTGATATTGGCCTGTTAACCCTAGAAATGTTAAAAAATATTTCAGGGCATGTATTCAATTCACACAGAAATAGAAAAATAAAGTGGGATATGGTTTTATAGGGTCTTTGAACATGGGTTAATTCACCTTGAAGAGGCATGGGAGAGTCTGGAAGGCTTCACAGCAGAGATCAGAGCCTGACCAGTCTGCAGCTCGGACAGATAAAACCCTGCTGAAGGCTCTGCCAAGTATTCCATTTGAGGGAGAGGCTCAGTGTCCTACAGGAAACATCCCAGAATGTCACAGCACAAGGTCTTCCATGGGATCAGAGGAACAGACACATTGCCATTTACATGGACCAAAATACTGTGAATAATAATTTTATAGTGGAGTTGATTACAGCTAGCCCAGAATAATCAGCATCTGACTCATGGAGCTTCTCTGATTCTTGGATAGCTGACAGCTCTGCAACACTTGGAATTAATCAGATTTGTGGGCTTACGTTTGCCCCACCCTTGTAATTTCAAAAGGCATTTGCTTTGGCCACTGGTAGGGATCAAGGGCTATGTGGGCTCTTGTTCTGATCCAGTACAGAAATTTCTTACCGTCTCCTGGTCATGGACTGGATCATCTGACTATGTGTAGTGTTTTGAGCTAATTTAATGGGTGGGTTAATACTCCCAAGCTACCCTAGGATACCATGTATGACAAATCCTTAGCTATCTCCCATGCAGGAGTGACCAGGATTATTTTTATTAATCTCTGCCCCCTAGGACAGCACAACCATCTTCCTTTGCTTTTTCAAAGAAGTCACAATCCAACTCAGCAAAAAACTGCCAACCCCTCTCCCTGGCACTACCCCAGCTGATATTTTACTGGTAGTGGAGACTCTGAGACACCACTTTGCTCAGAAATCCCCTTGAAAAAAAAACTAGGTTACTACCTTTTGCAGGTTTTCATGTATAATAAAAAAGTTTTTTTTCTTTTCTTTCAATCTGACAACATGCAGTAAAGACTTTTGACACGTGAAGATAGAAGGGAACTTAATTGCATGCTTGGTTCTGACACTTCCCTTTGTTAAAATAAAAGAACTTTTAAGATGAACTTTTTCAACAGGTAGAAAGTAGAGGTTGGAGGAAGGAGAGAAGAGCAGTGCTGACAGGGCCGACTGGGGATAGTGGATTGTTTAGAAGCCAAAATGACTGACTGTTTTCAGTTGTTGAAAGGAACTGTTTTTCCTCTAAGGACCTGATTCATTAAAACTGTATGCTGCATTTACATACATTTCTGCTGAATACCTCTCTTTGCCTGAAAGGCTGGGGTGATGCTGTCTTTTCAAGCAGTCGGTGTCTCGGTCCGTGCAGATGACAAGAATTTTGAGAAATCAGGCTTGGATGGGGTCCAGCAGCACAGCAGGAAAGAGGTTTYTGCTTCTCCTCTTATTCAAGAGAGAGTTGTGGTGCCCAAGATGTCTGTCCCCAAGTTGTACCCCAGTGATAAAGTGAAGGGTATAACCAGTTTAGCACAGTTTTCTTTCTTGTACCTCAGCAGTGAAGGACCTTCTAAATACCAACATGCTGAATTTACCCACTTGTTCCATTATGCCCCTGTCCCAAAAACAATTACAAGGTGATAATGAAGAATCCAAACTTTATCCAGAACCAGATGTGCAATGAGTCTCCTAAAAGAGATCATGGACCACAGAGATGCTCTTTAGCATTAAAAACTGGCTCCAGGCACGGTGATTGCCCTAACAAAGCAAACCACACACACTCTGAGCCATCAGACTGCAATTGTCCAGGTTGTTATGGTGTTAGAACAGCTCATTGAATCCTCCCARATATCTTCTGGGCACATTCTGTGGAACAGCCCACAACAGGTTCTATTCTCAGGAAACCAATAGGAAAATATGCTAATTTGGAAAGGTCCCCTTTCCTTTTTTAATTGATAGTATCATAAACCAAGTGAAAGTGAGTGATGTCTGTTCATCCATGGTCCAGATTACACTCCTCTGAGGACATGAGCTAAATGGAACTGATTTGGTTTCTGTTTTAAGAAGTTTATTGGTAGAATATTCCTAGACTAATTTGAAAACAACAATWACACAACAGCACAAGAACAAAAAGGCCTTATTTTTAGGTCTTTCTTAGTGCTAGGTCATATATGGGGGAGTCCCAGGGAATAAATTTAACCTCCAGGTGCTGAGGTATCCTGAGAAGCCTCAGGAAAGACTGAGTGGGAGAGTGAAAACAGTAAGACCATCCATCTTTGATAAACAAGATGTGGGAGACCAGGCAAGGCAGACCCTGAATCCTCACTACAAGAGCTCCTTCCTTCACAAGCCCCAGTGGTCCATTTGTCTTAAAGGTTGGGGGTCAAGCAGGCAAATCCAAAATACCCAGGACTTCAACTTGCAGATAAATCAGTGCCCACAATGTACGCAAATCAATGTACAAGTATTGGTGCGTTTACACAGGGTAAATAATAAAGTAATTTWYACATTTCWGGTGTATTCYAATGCTGGTTCATCACTTCATTTAKCCATAAGCTTTGCTGCTAATGCAGGTGAGCTGAGCTAGACTTAGCACTGCCAAACTGGATCCAGTTCAGGGTAAGAAAATGAATATGGTCCCAGAGGGGTGCTGTTCCTGTTAAAGAGATTCTGTATGTTGTTGGGTCTAAGACTTTGGGCAGGGAAGACTGAGATGGATTTTCTTTTTTTGTCTTTAATTTCTGTAACAACACTTCTGCCAAGCAACTCTGTTATGAATGGAATCACTCAGGGTAAGGTGGCAGTGTTCTGGGAATCAGCTTTATGGGAAGGATTACACCTGTCTTATTTAAGRATTTCCACTTTCCTTTTAGACAAATATGTAAAGAATTCCAAGACCTTCTAAGTCAAGACAGATCACCCCTCGGATCCTCCAGACCGACTCCAATATTAGACCTTGACATCCAGAGACATTTAACACATTTCAGGTATGATTTTGAAAAAGGAAACTAAAATCCATKATTTTGATTTAGACTGCATATGATGTTTTAATGGTATTTGTTCCCCTACATAAAACACAGGAAAATAAATATTTAACATCCATAATTACTGATTACTGTACCTATTAAAAGTTTAGGTTTGCCCAGCAATGTAGTTCAAGTTTGCTGCATTCAACCTGCTTCTAGGACCACAGTCTGAGTCTGAATAAGCAATTTTCTGTGTCTGATGGTCAAATCTCCCCATCTGGCCAGAAAATTGTCTTAGATGTGAACTCCGAATCACATCACGTCACATTCTGGGTAGTCCAGAACTGCAGAAACTCAGGTTCTGAGCTAATATAAATTAATCAAAGTAGACATAAAAGGAACAGGCTGCATCCTTCCCAATTATCTAAATAGTTCCAGTACCTCCTCTATGCTATCAGACCATTTGACAACATTTTACCATGACCATTTCATTAACTCTTTGGCTTCCAAAGCAGACTGGCCTCAAAGCACATTACCTACTAAAAGAGTTTTACTGCAATAATTGATTGAACAACACCCTGGAAAAGCCTGTGAGAATGAAAGCTGCTCACACCAAAAAGCCAGAGATTGATGAGGCACTTAGAGCCAATTCCTGAGCCCGTGCCCCAGCAATATTTAATGTACTGGTTTAAAAGGCTTAAGAAGCTGTTACGAAGACAAAGACCCATGGTACATGCACACCAAGTCCAAACTTCAACAGAATTTYATCCTATTTATGGATAAAAGTGTAKAGRTATTTTGGGYYCAGACAGATTTATTAGCCCAGGAGCTGCTGTGTAATTTCACATTTTTGCTTTGAGCGATGTGTCAGACACAGTCAAGAGTGAGGTGGGAACTTCCAGAGAGCCACTTTGAAATAGTGGGATCATCTAAAACACCTATCAAAGATAAGTTTGATGAAACCTCCTGGAGGTGCTCCTGTCTTTGCTTAGGCCACAGAGGGGAATGCAGGATTTGCTGAGGCTGCAGTTTTTTGGGTTTTTTTCCATCCATTAGGCGATAAATTTAAAAATTAACGTGCAAAGAGCACTTCCAGAGAATTGTTTACAGATCATAACATTAAGCAAGTTTCACAGCCCTATAAAGGCTTAGAATGATGTTGTGTATTCTTAGGACAACCAGCTGAACCACTCTCCTGTCATTATTTGGACAGACAACTTCTGTCCCCCAATGTCCCAACATCTGTGAGTTTTTACAATTCTGATAGCACATGAGGCACCCAGCAGAAAGGTTCTGTGGTGACTAATGTTCAGTCCCTCAGACTTTGAGTGGAATCCAAAAAATACCCACCATCCCACTTCTTCCATTCACCTCTTGGGGTGTGGGGAGAGGAAAGGGTAATTCCCAGTCCATAAATGCACACATTCCAGGCATTCCTGATTATTCCTACACACATCTGTGTGCATCCTATGTGTGTATGAACACACCTGGACAACCCCACTCCTATTCTCATGCAGTGCTGTGTGTATTTTCATTTATACACACACTCCAAAACACCCAACTACACCTGCACATCAAGGGAAAGGTCCTTATTCATGCAGAATACTCATAGAGGGATTTTAATGAGCTACTTAADCTTGTGGAAAAAGAGAAAATTCCCTATTSCCTGCACACAGAGGAAATGTGATATGAGGCAGCTAATCTCCAAGGATTCCTGTGTTTAAAGTAGAAATAGCAGTCAGGATGAAATGCTGAAGGCTTCAGCTGCACAAGCAGTCAACTGGTGCAGCTCCCATCCTTTCTCTGCTGCAGTTTAGTGGGTTGGAGGGCAAAGCTTCTGCAGGCAGTTCCTGGATCAGTCAGTTCTCTTTCATGGCTGCTGTAGGCACTAAATGTTGGGCTGAAGATGGGCACCTGGAGGAACACAGGCCTTGATCTTTCCTGGTGCTTCCCTGGCCTTAAATCAGAGTCTTCTCTGATTTTGTGCCTGGGGAATGATGAGTGCTGGACCCAGAGGTGGAGCTGAGATCATATTCCTTTTCCATCTAGTGGAGAGATTCTGGAGTCAGATCAGTTTCTGACCTGGACTCCTAACTCAGCTCAGATGAACTCCAAACTCAGCACAGCCAGCTGTGCACCTTCTGCTGTGGTCTCCAGGAGAAGTCTGCATTAAGCAGGTCTAGCATAGACATCTACATCAGTGTGGCTCGAATTTCTCTCTRAAATCCCTAAAATTGGCTGAACATTGTGGTCTAGATCTCCACCAGAATGGGAGCTTAGCCAAGAAGTGCACACCAGACACTTGCACTGCGAACAGCTAAACCTAATGTAGGCAAAAAATATCATCATTACCATCCTCTAAATCCAACAATCTTCTCAGCCAGGTCATCTCAACCCCTCCTACCACTACTTGTCTACTCAAGATTAAATATCACAGAATCATTGAATATTTTGKGTTGGAAGGGACCTTAAATCCCATCTYGTTCCAACCCCCTGCCATGGGGGAACTAAAGAGTCTTTAATGTCYYTTCCAACYSAAACCATTCCATGATTCTAGGATATGATGCCAGAAATTTGAAGAGAATTTTAAAAACCCAGAGGAATCATACAAATATCTATTATTAAAATAAGTTCCAAGATAGTGAAAGACTTTTTGTAGAGCCATAACATCTGACATCTACAGTAGAATTGGATCCAGCCTCTACWACATTGGGGTGAAAGGGAGTTTTCTTTAGGAATAAATTCCTCTACAGCTGTTCAGTGCACAGTTTCGTAATCCATTTGTTTGTGATGTTACTAGTTCTATGTTAATTATTAAAACCAGGGTTCACAAACTGGCACAGGTCAGATGGAAGCAGTTTTTCCTGTTTCCTCTGTTTTAAAACTTCAAGCTCACTCTTCTCTCTGAAGTTTTTTCCACTGAGCCCCAATTCATTGAGATGTGTGTCCAACCTGCAGTACAGGATGGTCCTCATGAAGGGATCAGAAGTGCTGGGTTTGCTCAAACTCCAAACTCAAAATTCACACAAAGCATGAAAAGGGAAATCTTCAAAGGAGCTGCCAGTGAGCCTGAGAACTGCTGAATTTTACACAATTTTATGCAAAAAAAACAGAGGCTCTTCTACACCTCTTGTGCAACTGCTCTCTGAGATGTCCATCTGACCTGAATCCAGAAAACTCAAGGCTCATGATGAATGATTTTCCAACATTGTTCTCAGACAGTTCAGACTCTTAAATTTATAGCAGCAAATTACCTGAGCCAGAGTMATTTTGTTTGTTTCATTCAACATTTCTCCCTTTTCAATACATTTTACAGGATATTACTGCAGAAAAGTTACATTGATAACTCCACCTATCAGTAGGCTTTTTAAGGTATATTGGTAACTCCAAATAACTTCAAATATACTGATATTAGCAGATAAAAGTAGTGCCAGGGAACAGGCATTGTCTATCTGTGCTTCTCTTTATCTGCAGAATTTCTGGGGGKTTTTTTCTGCCTGGTGTAACCAGCACTAACCCAAACTATTCCTGGGCACGAAGGTAGATATATATATCACCAATTTTTGTGTGASTTTAGAATTCCTGGAAAGACCAGCCCTCATCACAGCCCAGTCAGGCACCTTGTCTGTGCTATAAATTTAGATTTAGGGAAGTCCTGCCTTGCCAGGGCTGGATCCCAAACCTCGTGGGCTGGGTGTTGGGGTAGCTCAGATGTCTGARCATTACATAAGCCTGAGTTCAAGAAGAGGTGAGATGTTGTAGAACTGTCTTTCAGCCCAAGCTGTCTTTCAGCTCWTCTTTGAGCAGGAAAGATWAAAAATCATCTCCTTCCAACSTTTCTGCCATGGACAGGGACATTTCCAMYAGASCAGGCTKCTCAAAGGCCCTCCAACCTGGCTATGAACATCTTGAACACAAATATTCCTCTGAGTTTTATSGGGCCTGAAAGTCACTACTTGAGCTACCCCACCCCCAGTTTCTGAGGACARAATCAGCATTAAACCATGAAGAAAACAAGAAAACCCTGGATTTTTTTYCCYTTTTYTTTTTTYCTTTTCCATTACTAMGTGCTGAGACTTTTTGTCCAGACACAGCAGCGTCTCTTTATTGTCCTCTAAAGGCTGATCTGTGCAAAGCATTTTTGAGTTTACTACAGAAGAGAGCAAAGTCAACATATCAGTGTTAGAAAAGAACACAAAATTTTCTGCAGTTTTAAAAAGAGGAGTTTATTTTTCTCACCCTTTACTTCCAAAGTGGAGAGAGTATAAGGATCATCAGGAGAGCAAAGGGTGAGAGCAAGAGCAAAAGAAAGACAAGGGAAAATGAAAGAGAAAAGTAAAATACTTAAGATAAAACTTAGTTTCTTTTAAAATGCCTTCCATTATAATTCAGAGAATTTTTCCCCAGAATTCTTGAGTCTTGTGAGGCTTCTGTGTAGGTGTGCATGCACCTACCTGAGTATTGAAGAAGGAAAAACTGGGGAGTTCATTTCTCATGAAACTTAAACMAGTTTCAAATCCTACTGATGTCAGTAAAGCTGAAGGTTCATCTCTTTTTTTTCAGGACCTTTCAGGTTATATAAATCTGTCTTTAGCATTGTAAGTTCATTGGGTTTCAAGGAAGATCAGGTAAAATAGCTTTGAAACAGAGAGACAATTCTTGATTTTTCCGAGGTGGTGGGAAGAAAAAGGGAGGTTTTAATATTTAGAGACARCAAAAAGCTGGATATAAGCATGACATATGTAAGACACTGAAAATAATTCACTTTAGAAAAGCCAGAAAGAGTAAATTGGGGCAATCATGACCTGCAGCAGGTGAAGACAAGTCTGYCTGGAGACACAAGAGACACACACAGAGATTTTATGGCACAAGTAGTTGTGATGGGAGATAGTGAAGGCTTGGATGACCCCAACACCRTAATTCTGCCTCTAAATCAGCAGARWTGACTGGTGACATTGCAGCCAACAGGTTCTGCTGCTGGATCTGGGGCAATGTTAACCAACACAACCATCAAACCTCAT